CGGAGCGCCCACCTTGCGCGATGCTGAGCCTCAAGCTGCCCCGGCTGCTCAGCAGCAAGCAAGTGCCCGAGGTGAGCGGGGACCTGCCGCGGCGCAGCCTGAGCGCGCGGGAAAAGCCTCGTAACGCGACTTCCACGCTTCCAGCAGGGAAGAGAGAGACTTTGAGAAACAGGATAACATATTTTGATGGTCCAGCTTTTCCTGTAATTTGCTCATGTTTAAAAAAAAAAGAAGTGAAAACACCCTGGACTTCATTGTTGTTTGATTTTGGTCAAAATCAAGGTTAAAAAAAAAAAAGTTTTAATGCAACCGAGAAAAGTTTCTCGTTTAGCTGACCGCATGCCCCAAATGTGCCATGGCAGGAAGTGAGTAAGGCAAGTTCTGGTGCTCACCTTTGCCTGGAGGGAGGGAGAGAGAGAGATACGTATGTACCTATACGTGTGTATGTATGTATGTGTGTGTATATATATATATATATATGTATATATACGCACTCACACATACATATATACACACACACACACAGGTATATATGTGTGTATATATGGTTTTTATTTGCTTAAGGTGGAAACTCGATGGCTTTTGGGTGGTGGCAGTGGGAGCAGCGCGCCTGGGTGGCCATGGGTGCCCTTGCACCACCGCCCCTCCTGGGCAGCGCTCCCATGCCGCCGGGGGGGAGCAGAGAGGGAGGCTTGGGGCAGTGCTTGAAAACCACAGACAATGTCCCGCTGGGAGCCAAAAAAGAAAAAAAAATCTTTTCTGGGGAAAAGCCTCTTTTTAAGGACTCCTTAAAATATTGGTAGGGGGTTTGGCAGGGTGGAGGGGGGCAATCATGGAGTGCCCTCCTTTCTGTGGGGCGCTCTGAATTGCTTATCCTCCTTCTCCAGGAAGATTTGCAGCCGGTGCTTTCCGCAGGACTCAGGCGCGCTGCACGCCGTCCCGGGCACAGCGCGAGGACCGGAGCTCGCAGTCCAGCTCTTTCCGCCGCTGTCTTTGCAGGGGTACCAGGAGCAGGGAATCCTGTCTGGGTATCGCCACCCGAGGAGCTCTGCAACAGACTGTCTGCTCAGCGTCTTCCAAATGACGAACGAAACCCTCAATATCTGGACGCATTTTGTGCCTGCCTGGTACCTAACCTGTTCTGCCTTTTTAATCTAATGCCGTGCTTTGAAGCGTTGGCAGATCTGCAGGGGTAGGTGGCAGGGTCCTTGCAGCGGGTCTCTCCAAAGGCAGGAGGGGCGACAGGCTTGGGAGAAGGGTTTGGCTTCTGGAGTCAGTCTGGGAGGACCAAAGGGAAAGA